TGAAGCCTCTGGAAGGAACCAGCCCTGCTGACACCTCTGACTTTGTTTGACTCAATGAGAATTGTTGTAGACTCTAACTTCCAGAGCTGTAAGATAATAATTATGTACTGCTTTAAGCTACTAGCAGCAACAGGAAACTAATACACAGTCTTAAATTGGCTGAAATAAGCTTCTCTTTTACTTAATAGGCAATGTTAAGCCCTCAGTGCTTTCTGAATTGCCACTTAGCATAAAAGGCAATCAATGCAGAGCTACAGAGTGAATGCTGAATGAAATAGTATACAGCCATTATAAAGATGTTTACAAAGAGTTAGTAAAACAGAAAAATGTTATTTGATAAGAAAAGAATGTCAATTTGCATTTCAGTGACATCACAGTTATATTAAATGGGCAAATATCAAATTATGCATATAAGAACTCCAAAAGAAAAGAAATTAAAATAGTAAGAGTGATTGTTCCTGCATGTTGGGACTGTAAATGACTCTCTCTTTACATTTCTGCAAATTTTCTATAATGAACAGGTATTGTTTTCATAATGCAAAAAAGTACATCAATTTTATTTAAAATTTAGATGTATAATATGGGATAAAAAGCAATTTATACAATATTGGTGCATTCCTTCTCTTTATGCACAAATAACTCTCATTTAATTGGTAATTCAGCCCGACCAGTGTGGCTCAGTGGTTAAGCATTGAGCCATGAACCAGAAGGTCATGGGTTGTGGGCCTGATCCCGAGTGTAGGGCAGGCAGGGGGCATCTGATTAATTATTCTCTCTCATCATTGATGTTCCTATCTCTCTCTCCCTCTCCCTTCTTCTCTGAAATCAATAAAAATATATAAAAAATAATTGGTTATTCAAAGCCTTCAAATTCATAGATCTGTTACTTCAGTAACTATGCAGTCATCATGAACCTGTATTTTGTTTTGCAAACATGGGTCAGCTTGAATAATAGTAAAGTTATAATTATCACCTTCAAAAATCATCCACTGAGCAGGCCCTGTGAGCTGCATGAGGACAGCAGGGTGTCGGAGGTAATGATTTAAGTAGACATTGATAGTTGACTCAGTTGGAAGGAAAAAAGGCCAAGAGGGAAAAGCTGGGAACCTGCAGAATGACTCTGCTTCACTTGAGTGTGGAAAGACAAGACAGCTCTTCCCAGAGCTATGGCTCGTTGACATTGGGGAAGTCTTCCGTCACTCAGAGCTGTGGTCTCTTCTTTTGTGTTATGAGGGAAGAGGACCAAATTATCTCTATTTGTCCCTCTAGATCTAAACATTCTATAAATACACGCATGTGTAAGTATTCACACAAACACATGGACATCTAGGCTCTGATTATAAAACAATAAGACTGATTAAAAAACGCAATTGCCAGAAAAATACTTTCACTATTCTATGGTCTCATTTTTTATTCATGCAGGGCTGCTGTGTAAAGCGGGTCTTTTGCACTGTGCAATTTTCCGCTCGTACCATCACCATGAGATATTTCACAGTATCTTCCTTTTTACGATGTCAGAAACTACCCTGCACAGCGTATTAAAAGGCTTTAACATCTGAGGGGTTACAGCAGCAGCCTGTTGTCTGGTTAGTTGCTGAAGCTTTACAGCTTGTCACTTGTCAGCTCTCTGAGGCATGCATTCATGACCTCGGGGAAGCTTTCTACTTCCTTCTGTGAAAATCCAGTACATTAACAACACTCAACAGCTTTCCAACTAAGTGCAGTGCCTGATAATTTCTCCATTCTTATGATTTTAAACAAGATGCTATTTCTAGAATACATCATATGTAAATTTTTAGTGGAATCCTGAAATGCCCTAGTATACTTTTCCCCAGGAATATTAATGGGATTCTTCTTATTTGAAAGAAACTTAAGTGATTTACTCCAAATCCTACAGAACTTAGAAGTCTGTAGGGTGCAATAAATCATGTGCATACTTTACTTTAATACAGAACAGGAAAGTAAACGCAGGAGAAAGATACACTTATATTACAATGGACAGAATCTCAGAGGAGAAATAGATTATGTCCAGCTGTCCAGAAAGAGAGATGGTTCAGGGAAGCATACAGGGTACATGGCATTGGAGGCTGTTTGGATCTTAAATTCAAGAACTGAGGTGGAAGTGGGGGGCTTTCTTGGTAGAGGAAACAGAATAAGCAATGCCTTGGTGGCAGGGAAAATTTGGGGTGTGCAAGGAGAAGAGCAAAGAGTGAAATCTGATGGCACTCTCAACTTGAAGTTGGGAAGCCATGGGTTACAGACTGAAAAGATGGGCAAGATCCAGTTCTCCAAGGCCTTAAATGGTGACCTAAAGAAGCTGCACTTGGTTCTATAGACAGTAGAGAGCCATACAGGGCTTCTGAGCAATTATTTAATTGTCTTTTCATTCACCTCTCTTTTTTAAAGGAAACAAAGGTAATTTTGACTCTGTACTTTAAAAAGAATTATACTTTCTTATTCAACAAGTGAACAAAATTCTAGGGAACCTTTCTGTTTATCAATCTATGAATTAGAAAATATTTAAACTTTACATGTTTGAAACTCTGAAGGGAAAGATTTCCTTTATTGCTCTAGTATTTATTTGGTGTTGGAAGAGCAGTGAGCCTATTAAGATGTTGAAATGAAAGCTGCACATAGAGGGGTCTCAGTAAGCTCACTCATCTGGAGGATAGAAGGTGACTTGGTCACCCCAACTTTATCCTATGGCTCCAGCCTTCCCAGTTCAGGCCTCTGGCCAACAGGATTTGGTTGTGGCCCTTTATACTCAGACCACGGTCCTTCACCTGAATGATCCAGGGCACTGGCTCCAAATCTATATTCTATGCATAGGAACACAATACTGATTCACCATGATGCTATTTTTTGTGTTTGTACGAGTGTATGTGTGTGTGTGTGTATGTGTGTGCACACACACACATACACATCTATACCCTATATAATAAAAGCCTAATAGGAAATTGTTCCCTTGACCAGGAGTTTGACCAGTAGTTTGACTGCTTGCTATGATGTGTGCTGACCACCAGGGGGATGCATGGAACATGGTAGGCATTGGCGACATGCTGTGACCTCTCATTGGCTACCTGGGGCGGGGGTGATGGGGACAGAGGTGCAGTGAGAATGTGGGATGTCCACTGAGCTCACTCTCATTCCCTCTGTTACCCTCCCCCAGGATGTCAGGGCTTACGTGTCAGGGAAGCTCCTGTGCTCAGGTGCCAGGCACCAATGAGGAGCCCGCCCAGTACCCACGTGGCCTTTTCTGGGTGAGCTGGGCCACAGCTGCCGGGGCCTCAGGAGCCGGTCGGGATCCCCGTGGGTTCGCACAGGAGCCAGTCCGCGAGGCTGACCAGGAGAGAGCGCGCTGCCTGCCCAACTTCCGTGCTGTAGCACTGGGTAGCCAAGAGGCCCATGCTGTGCCCCGGACCATAGCATCCAGCCGTGCTCACCACATCTCTGTGTGGGGACTCAGGCACTGTGACTCAGGTGGCAAGGGCATGTGGGGGATTGGGGGCCCAAGTGCTGCCCAGGGCCCAGAGGTTATCTGGGACTTGCCCTTCCTTCCACACCAGATGCTCATGCTTCAATCGCCAGCCAGGCCTAGGGACTGTACCTGTGCATTAATTTCATGCACCAGGCCTCTAGTCTATGTATGTAAAAGCCTAATATGCTAAGTGTCTGTCCAGGTAATGACATCACATAGCAATGTCCAGCTTCCTCTCCCTAGTGACTAGAAACTCCTTGCAGTTTCTTCAGTCCAGGAACATGACTTGCTTTATAGCCAGGTGGAAACATTTTATTCTTTAAATGTCTGTGAAGCATTTTCCTATGCTTCATCTAATTTTATCCTCACAGAGCAGAAGTCTGGAGTAGGTAGATGGGAGACTTGGTCAAATCCTATTTTCTTTTCATTAGTCAGAAAACGTAGATTTAGAAAGCTTAGAAACTTGACCTGACTGAAAAGAAGTAAGAAATGGTGGACCTTGAAAATGACTTTAGGTTTTCTCACTGTGCAGAATATAGTCAAACACTGCTGCAGCTAAATATTTTACCCCTTGTTCTCCCTGCGTTATCTACAATAATAATCTGCTCCGTGTTGATATTTACTGCTGTGTTGCTGACAATTACACGAAAGAGAAGTCGGGTGCTTCACTGGGCTGGAAAAAGTTTAGCTAAATCAGAAAGCAGGTCTAATTAAGCAAGTTCATTCTATATCTGTAAAAGGATAGGTTGACTCATACATGTGTGATATATATAAAACTCTCGCTGGCGCCATTCGCATGTGTGTGTTTCAATCTGTCATTATCAATCATGAATTTGGTTGGCATTTCTATTATGGAGAAAGGGCGAATAGTGATATTAAAATATTTCTTCTAATTAATTTCCTTTCAATGTTCACAAATTCGTGCACCAGGCCACCAGTATAAATATAAAAATGTACATCATTACACAAAGTTGTGGTGGCCCATACCATTATATTATTGTTATATCTGTTATAATATAAAGCTACTATTTTTCCAGAATAGTTTGTGAACATTTTGAGAGCAGGCCCATCCTATAGTAACTTGCATGCTGCCAGAACTTAATTAGCATTTATTGATTAACTGACTTAAGAAAACCTCTTTAGCCTCCAGCATATGCTGCATTTCCTTCTAGAATCAGGAGAACAGCTGGTTAACATATTGGATATAAAAGGGCAAAAAAGTATGGTTTCCATTTTCCTTTAGATCTGTAAAAAGCAAGATAGGTTATTTCTTTAAAAACTCCTGAGATAACTGAACTCATCACATGAAAGCAATCTATCAATGTGTGTGTGTGTGTGTGTGTGTGTGTGTGTGTGTGTGTGTGAGAGAGAGAGAGAGAGAGAGAGAGAGAGAGAGAGAAATCAGCCAGCTCCCAACTGCAAAATGGAGAAATAATGTGCAAAATAGTAAATACAGGTGATGTTAGCAAATGGAGAGAGTTTGTAAATTAGTATGGTTGTATGTGTAATACTTGCAACTTACCTCTATAAAGAAGATGCTGGCTGCTGATGTTGGATGGTGATACATGTAGACTGTCACAAGAATGGCTGCTGCGATAATGAGGACCAGGATGAGGATCCCAACAATGAGGCCAGCATGCAGCGTTCCCCCTTTCTTCTCAGCTGCACTGTCATCTGTGGAGGCTGAGAGAACAGCACAGCTGTCAGGACATCCAGGTGTGTACTCTTAAGTGTGAGTTTTCATTAAAAGGAATATTTTGATTTTAAGGAAAGTACTGTTGGATATTTTTATTTTACTTCCTATGCAACTTTTCTTTTCCATAACACCCATTTTAGAAGTTAGATGCTTTTTATTTGGGCAATAAAAAAATCCATACTATTAGTGATTAAAGTTATATTTATAATTGTGTTATAATTTATAGTTCAATAAGCAAGATCAATAGTCTTTGTTCTAAAAGTACTACAGAAAATCTAAAACTCTAACTATATAATAACCTTAACTTTGATTTTTCTCATTAAACCACTGGCCCTTTTACCTATGGGAAAATTGATTACTTTTCGAAACCTCCTCTTTCATTTTCTTGTGGAAATTTTAAATTGAAGAATATTAGACATGTTTTTTTGTGACTATACAAGCATTTTCAGAAAGTCTGCATAAGTCCAAAGGATAATTTTCAAAATCTGTCTTAAACTGCAATGCTCTTTAAAAGTATAACAGATGGAAGCTAAATGACCCTCAAATAGTTTTATCACTATCTAAAGGGAACACACAGCATATAAAAATATCCTACTATGCCACAGGCCAATACAAATTTCTCTAACTCTTACTGAGATGCTTTCCACCATTATACTCATTTTCAGAGAGGTATTTCTGAATTTCTAAAGTAATAACTTTCCAACTTAAAGTCAATCAACCAAATAAAAGTAATCTATAAAGTATTATCTTGTTCTAAAAGTCTGCAATCTTTGATGACTACACGGGCATCTAGAGATCTTTTTAAATTATGTGCAGCAGGTAACCGTATCTTAGTGCAAAATAAAACTGGTATTTTTGAGTGATAAAATTCATTAAGAGTCATAGAAGTTTTAGAACAGTGATTCCTAATAATTTCGTTACCAATTTATGTCTTTGTTATTTTCACCATTTGCCTCTATGTTTTAACGATTTTTTGTCTATTAAAGCTCATTTAATAAGCACCAATTTCTTTTTTAAAAAATTTTAATACAGAAAATATGACTTCCTATCAGAATGTGTGGTGAATGCTAAATAACAAAATTCTAGATAAATCAAAGGAACTTGACCTCCCCAATTTTCTCACCCTTCCTTTGATGTTGCTATTGTTTGTTTTCTCTGCTTGAGACCCTTATTGTTATTCAGTAATCTTTCTCCAAATCAAATAAAGATTAAAACCCTAAAGCTTTCCCTTACCTAGCAGAAATTCATTAGTGAAAGAATGTAAAATGTAAAGGGTAATCTACACTAATAAAAGAGAAACATGGTAATTGGCATATGACCGCTACCCTTCCCATTGGCTAATCAGGGAGATATGCAAATTAACTGGCAGCCAAGATGGTGGCTGGCAGCCAGGCAGCTGATGCAAACAGGGAGTCTTGCTTGCTTCAGTGATGGAGGACTCCAACGTTCCCAGCGGGGCTTCAGCCAGCCGGACCACAACATTGTATCAAATACAGACGGTAAACAAAGGCCAGAAACCTGTTTTGAGCAGCCCAGGCCTCAGAGCTAAAGCTGGCCCAGAGTTAAAGAAAAAAAAGAAAAAAAAGAAAAAAATGGAGCGGTTGGGAGCTTTAGTCCCAGCCTGAAAACAGCCCTCAGCCCCTCACCCAGACTGGCCAGGCACCCCAGTGGGGACCCCCACCCTGATCCAGGACACCCTTCAGGGCAAACCAGCCAGCCCCACCCATGCACTAGGCCTCTACCCTATATAGTAAAAGGGTAATATGCTCCCAGCACCAGGATCAGCGGAGCCGCGAGGCCTCCCGGCACCGGGATCAGCGTGACAGGGGCAGCGCCCAAACCCCCTGATCGCCCTGCGGCTCTGTGTGTGACAGGGGGTGGGGCCCCAACCCCCAACCCCCCTCAGGCCCTGCTCTGTGTGTGACAGGGTAGAGCCATAACCTCCCCATTGGCCCTGCCCTGAGTATGAGAGTGGCGGCGCCCCAGCCCCCTGATCCGCCCTTCCCTGAGTGAGACAGAGGGCGGTGCCCCAACTCCCCTATCGGCCCTACTCTGTGAGTGACAGGGGGGGGCTCCCCCACCCCCTGATGGGCCCTGGCCTGTGCGTGACAGGGTACGGAGCCCCAACCCCCCTGATGGGCCCTGGTCTGTGCATGACACAGGGTGGCGCCGCAACCTCCCCATCGACCCTGCCTTGAGTGTGACAGGGGGCAGTGCCCCAACCCTCCAATCGGCCCTACCCTGAGCGTGACTGAAGGTGGCATCGCAACCTCCCAATCTGCCCTGCTCTATACATGACAGGGGAAGGCGCCCCAACTCCCCAATCGGCCCTGCTCTGGGCCCGACCAGGGGCTGCACCTAGGGATTGGGCCTGCCCTCTGCCACCCGGGAACAGGCCTAAGCCAGCAGGTCGTTATCTCCCGAGGGGTCCCAGACTGCGAGAGGGCACAGGCCGGCCTGCGGGATCCCCCTTCCCCCGAGTGCACACATTTTTGTGCACCGGGCCTCTAGTTCATTCTATAAAAAGTCATTTACTGGGAGATTCTGGGAAGACGGCAGTAAAGAATCAGGACTCTGTCTCTTCACCTAGATAACAATTGCACTGGCAGAATCTGTCTCAGGCAGTGATTTTCAAACAGTGTGCCGGGGCACGCACACTGATGTGCCACAAGAATTTTTAAAACATTCAATACCTGACTAGTCAGGGCCACTTGACATCTTTTCCCTTAGATTGTTAAATTAAAAATAATGACAACAGTCAATACAACAACAGTCATCTGCTGTGAATGAATCAAAACTATATATATGGCATTTTAGTAATTAGTTTATGTGTACCATGAGATGAAGAAGGTTGGAAATCACTGGTCTCCCATAGCTATTTCGGAACTCTGGACTATATTGAAGGCCTTCAACTTACCAGGTAAGGCTTAGACCATAAATTGTGGTTAATTTCAGTCAATTTCAGCTCTTAGCACAGTAGTAGCCACCTATTCTTCACCCCTGAACCATGTGACAGGCAGCTGTGCATGTGTATTGATCACTGATTGGTGCTTCTGATCACAGAGGTGCACACAGAAAGACAGGCAGTCATTGTTGTTGCACCTCCCCCATGATTGCAAGCCTCTTCCCCTTTGGTTAACTGAATTCCAAGGGATTGAAAGAGCCAGCATTCTTCTGCCCTGGCAAGTGTGGCTGAGTTGGCTGGACATGATACTGTGCACTGAAAGGTTGCTGGTTCGATTGCAGGTCAGGGCACATGCCCAGGTTGCAGGCTTGATCCCCAGAAGCGGGTGTGTAGGAGGCAGCCAATTGATGTTTCTCTCTATATATTTCCTCTCTCTCTCTCTCAAGTCAATAAAACACATTAAAAAAGATAAGAAGAGGCATCACGCTTCTTGTTGCTTCCCCTTTTACTTTTGTCATTTTCCCCTTTTCGGAGCCAGATATGAACACATAGAACACTCAAAAACAACTATGTATAAGGGGAAAATTTAAAAGTGACAGTGCACACCCAGAGAAAGGCTCAGAATAGACTTGAGAAGACCTTAAGCTTACACTTCAAGCTGAACCTCAATACAGAGACAGCCTACAGCAATAAAAACACAACACAACACAACACAACACAACAAAATAAACAAACCTAGCAAACCCTGAGGTAGGAAAATAATTTGATTCCCAGAGTTACCACATTATTAGGTTCAAATGTCCAGTTTCAAACAAAAATTCACAGAAAGGTGTGGTTCATTCAAAGAGAAAACAATCAATAAAAACGGTCCTGAAATAGAATCTATTAGAAGCTGGGAGACTACTCAGAAAGGTCAGGAGGGACCCAGACTTTGATTCCACACCGAGGATTATCTTAATGCTCTTTCACTTATACCCAAAAGCCAAACAACATCCTCACCTCCACACAGGACAATTAAAATATTTAGCCTTTTTAGCTTTATATTGTGTATTCAAATAAGAGGAATTAATGATAAAGGACAAGACACCATAAAGTAGAGCCTCAAAGCCACAAAAACAAGTATATACATATATTTGAAAAGCCTATCAAGTCGAGGCCTTCTTTGTACTACGTTGAAGACATTTTAAAACATAAATCATGCACAGAAATGGAATAGTATCAAATATAATATGCTGTCATCTGATGAGACTTTCAAGTTTCTAGTTTTTACTATTTTATAAGATGCAGATCAATATTTAGACACAAAGAGGATTGCGAGAATTATCAAATGTATCAAAGCAATCTGTGGTGTGGGGATAGTTTTAGTTATGATGATAGCAAAAACAACAGCTTTAAAAGGCATTAAGTACAGATTAGATAATATTTAAGATCTTACATAAATGTGTTTAATTTGCTGCATTCCAAGAAAAGTTTATGACTTGTTGATAAGAGGAAAGATTAAAGAAAAAGAAAGAAAGAAAGAAGATAGGAGGAAAGAGAAGTAAATTTGGTATGTTTCTTCAAAGTGTAACATTTAATTTTAAACCTCTATGTCTTCTTGTTTTTTCTATGACTGACATTTTTCAAGGTTTACAGCACATAGCATTGATATTCTGTTAAAAGTACAATTCTTCAGTATGATAAAAAGATTTTTATACATTGCTAAAGTGATCTGTGCCCACTGTTAAATCTTGCCAATAACTTAAGTCCAGAAATAAAGTAAAACTAAAATACAAATGCTCCTTGCCTGTAATTTTATTCACTTTAGAACTAACTCTTTCCTTGGCTTTAAAAAGAAACACCACAGCCCATAAATTCTGCTTTGTATTAATGTCCTTTGGGGGACCAAGAGGCTTTGGACAAAGTCTTGCACAAACTTGTTCAAAATTCATAAATCTTATGCAGATAATGTCAAAATGTTCTTTTTAAAAGATAAGTAAAGTTAAACTATAAATGCTCAAAGTGTTAGTGTTCCATTTTTGGCTTAAACACACACACACACACACAGACACAGGACATTCCCTATGGAATATTACCTAACCC